GAATACCGTAGATAGAGATAAAGAAAATTAAGTATTGGCTTTAAAGCTTTTTATGTTTCTTTTTTGTCAAATATTCATACAAATGTACCACCTGCAAAGCTGCCTAAAGAAGCAAATACAAGTGATCACGTACACAAACACACACACACACACACACTAAACAGAAGCGAATGAAGACAATGTGTGTCTTCTGTACATGTGCCGATTATATGTTTTTCATTTTATGAAACTAAAACGTTTAGAGGCAACAGAAAGCCCCTCTGACCAAACAAACCCAAATGGCTCCAATCATTAAAAGGGAAAGGGGAATCCCTAAACACTTCCCTTTTCTTGTCAGGCCCTGTACAGCCCAACACTGAAAGTCATAAAGGTACAGAGAGTGAGGAAAGGGGAAAAGAAAAAGGCGAAAGGGGAAGGTAAACATCTGGTGTGGGATGAAACTTGCAGCAGTGTCACTGACACACTCACAACAGGAAGTGCATCATGTGAGGGGGCGGGGGGTTGAGCAAGAGCGGAATATATGTTTTGGGAGATCTATTCAAATAATTAGGCAAAAAAACGTCACATTCCTTCCACGGATGAACAGAGAACACATCAGTGAGCTGCTTCCCGACTGAATACATCTTTAACACGTTCACGTTAATGTGAACTGTCATACGGACTCTCTGTGGAGGAAATATGCTTCTATGGACAGAGTTGCTACACGGGCGGTTGGATTAAGGACCTTTTATGGTGACTACTGCATGAATCATGATTGAATGACAATACCTGGCGGGGGGGGGGGGGGGGGGAGTGCAGTGGATTGTGACTGTGAGTAAGGTCCGGATATAGGCGGCGGGGTGGGGCGCGTTCAGGCCTGGGGGAGGGTCGCGGGGTGACAGGTGGCGCTCTGGCCGACTGTAGAGCGAAGAAGCCACGTCTTCATGCAAGCCGGGAGCTAAAAGCTGCGTTCAACTTTCAGCCTAAACGCACTTCGGGCTGCTGCCAAATTTTGAAAGCGTACGCTGTGCGTTAATGTCGACAAACGTGGACTCCGGAGGCCGTCGAGTGTGCGAGAGGCCCGAGGACGCGTCCGCGGGTCTAGTTTTACCGAAAGATTGCAGCCCGCCAAAACACATTTTTTCGACTGGATAAAACGCGACAGCGTTGCCACGGGGATTATAGGTTTTTCTAAATAAGGGCGTGGTGAGGCGCGAAGCCAGTCTCAGTGACGGTCACGGAGGAACAGACACATCAAAAGCAATACAGTGGTTGTTGCACATGGGATGTACAGGCATATACAGGTCTGGGGGGGGGGAGGGCGGGGGGGCGAAAACAGAGCACTTTTGCCGTTGTTAGGCACACTCAGCCAATGATACATGACCAATAATCACACATAAACAGGAAAATACCTGATGTGTATGGAAATAACACAGTAAATACACATGAAATGGGAGTATGGCAAGAAAGGAAAGAAAACACCGAGCTCAAATGACCCCACAGGCGACGGGAGGAACTTCTATCCACACCCTCCCTGACGGACCTGTGATTTCCCATCGAGGCACAGATCATGAGAACAGAGAGCGTTGTACTAACAACGGAGGCAGACCCCTGACTGGATTTCATTTTGTTATCAAGTCAATCACCCGATAACGTCACATAGCCGTTATCTGTAATGAATGAAATGCATTCCTGCTTCGGAGGCAGCGGCTGCGCTAAACACTGACGTTCGTGGATGTGAGATGACGGTCAACGCCGAGACCGGAGCTACATTCTGGATCTTGTCGTTGCTTAAGAATGGTGCACAAATATACGAGAGAGGAAATGGCAAATGGTCTTTGAATAAAAAAAAAAAGATTATCACAAAATGTCTTTGAGTAACACAAACTCGGGGTGTGCAAAGGCGCGAGCTTGAACAAAAGAAAAGGAAAAAGTGACGATAAAATCAGGGATGGGGGATGTAAACTCATCCAGATGAACAGGGGTAAGAACTGCCCGTCAATTTCATTCATCCCTGAGTGAATCAGAATGTCTAAACCACAAAGCTCTTCACAAACGGGGTCTGCATTGAGTGGCACCACAAGTCTCCCTAAAGACGACATATGCGCTGAGGTTAAACATGGATGGACTCTCCAGACCAAACTCTCCCCTCGTGTGCAGTGGGTTTAAAGGGGAGAACGTTCCCTCGGCATCGCCGCGGAGACGGGGGGGGGAACGTTCCCACCAAAGAGCCGGGCCGGTGAACACAAAGGCCTTTTGGCCGTACCTGCTTCGGAGAGGTCTCGCAGGGAGCTGCTGAGGGCGCTGCGCTTCAGGCCCTCGCCCATGGCGTACGTGTCGTCCAGGCTGGCGCGGTTCATGTTGCCGTTGCCGGCCTCCTTCTTCAGACCGGAGCTCTGCGACATGCTGGGCCTCACCATCCCCTTCTGCTTCTCCAGCTCGGCTGCGGGAACGAGCCGGAGGAGAGAGACAGAGGTGAGCGCTCGGTGGTTTTTAACGTCGCGTAAAAGGAAAAGGAAAAACACACTCCTGTCCCTGTGAACCCTGTAAACATGCTTCCTTGTAAAATGCTGCAGCTAATGAAGACCATGCCCTGTTTCTGCTTTGCACACCCTGAGGTAGACGGAGCGAGAGGGGGGGGGGGGGGCAGCTCACACTCTATTCTGTATTTCTCCATTTCCTGGACCTCGGCGATGGACTCTCGCAGGTCGTCTGTGAACTTCTTGCGGTCCTGGGGGTTGGGCGCGTTAAAGTTGATGAGGACTTTGATGTCCGCACCTGGTATGGCCGATGTAAGTCTGATTCCATTCGGGTAATCTACAGGAAACACATTTACACAAAAGGCCATAGATCAAAAAACAAGTTCAAACAAAAAAAAGCCCATTAGTTCGGCCGTTGATGCATCAGAGTGAAAGAAAAAAGCCAATTACATTGATTTTCAAACATTATGACTTGCATCCCATACAGAGAGAAGGACTGTCTGAAGCTGTACGTCACAGAGTTCTTCTTTTTTCTGGAAGATCTTGGTCACCTGGAATCACACAGAGAGAATTGTTGAATGGTTTGGTGTAGAGACGGATGCAAGAGGAGAAGAATAAAGGAGAGGGCTTTCACCACGAGGAGGTCGTTGAACAGGAAGATCTCCCGCTGATGCAGGCCCAGCTTCTGGAGCTTGTTGGGGTCCGGCACTTCAAACAGACGGCAGTAACACACCAGCCGGCGATGGGGCAGCGACAGCACCTAGATCGGAAGGAGCACGGATGGCAACCATTCAGAGCTCGCTACGGCCTGGACGGGTGGTTCGTCTTTCCTTTAACAAAGAGTCACGGCAGGTACCAAGATGAAATCATCATATCTGTACACAGCGCATATCGGAACGAAGGAACATCGAGGAAAATAAGTTGTTTCTAAGACCAGATCAAAATAATTTACTGACAATACTGATGTCAGGTTTGTTTCACCACTGATGTTTGCTGGTAGCATATTAAAAAGCATGACGTCGTTGCCTCTAAAACTGTTTCTGTTGATCTGAACTTTAAGGAGGGCTCACGTACGAGAGAAAGTATTTACAAAAGGCAATTGTGCGGTTTAATCACCATTAGGGTATTACAAAACAATGCAGGGGTAAACCAGCACACGGCTCCTCCCATAAAGGTCACGACTAATTACCACCATGCAAATGGGGGATGGTCGTATATTCTTTGACTGGGAGTCATGTGGCATGCAGCCAGGGGTGACGTAGGTGGTGCAGCTCAGTGCAAACAATTTGTGTCCGTGGAATGTGTCTCCAGGGTGCCGCAATGACAGACGAGATGCTACAGGGGGGCCAAAGTTTGGGCCTCTTCAAGGTAATCAGAACCCTGAAACTATCAGAGACGGGAAGCCGTGCACATACTGTGAAACACTGAAAAATAATCAAATATAGCGTGATTTGTGGGTATTTATCCTACTTACACATCCCAGGCCGTGGTGGAGCGATCCGATCTGAAGAGGGGGCAAAGAAGAGGTTTCATGCAGCTGTTATGTAAGGATTATTAACGCTATTGACTGTGAGAATTCAATCTGTCCTGCTTATTAATGAGCCAATCTAAGGATTCGCCCTCGCGGAATATGCACCTGTAGACTATAAAGGTGACCATGCAGATGGTCGCACCTCGGTAACGATGCTGGAGTGAAAACCCATCCAGCCCACTCTGGGAAGCAATAGAGGATCTGATTATCACCGAGAGGAACTCAAATATGGTGTGTCCTCCTGAGCTTTTGATTCTGCAGCTAAATGGTGACCAGGGATCGTTTTTCAAAAACATGCAGCTATTACAGGCAGAGCGGAAGCGATCCGAACTGAAACAAAAGACCTCCTCACTAGACGAACCGCTCTCTCTCTCTCTCCCGCAGCTGCATCGGTTAATCACACTTTTAACCTTCACACGTGAAAGAGACGTCATCGTCTGCAGAATAACGCCAAAGTGCCGCTGCCCTGCCCCCGATGGCTCGCAGCACTGAACTAAATCTAATAACAGCTCTGGGGTCAGTATTCAGAAACAGAAATGAACTGGCTGCGGATTAGCGAATCAACGGATTACTGTATTTCGTGCTGCTAAATTAACCCCCAGTTTCCACTACTTCTCCCTTATAAAACTATGACGCGCTACGGCTGCAGAATGTGACCATTTCTTATCCGACTGCAGCACCGGGTGACATTTCTCAAGGGCTTCGGGTGTTTTAGAATCACCAGCGTGAAGGTCTAAGTCGACAACGCCACCCAAGGGAAGAACCGGTTCCATACATCTTCCTGTCCCTTCAAGGAATACAACTCTTAAAGTTCAGCATCCACAAAAGGAAAAGGGAAAAAGGCATTGAAGGCCAGGGGGCGGAACCGTTTCTGACGGAAGATATTTCCAGGTGTTCTTTTTAAAGATTATCGACATTACGGTTAAGATTAAGTACTAATTATGACACCAAATCTAAATGAGAATCTCCAACAGATCTGTAATTCTATTCCAACAGTATTGGCAACTTAAAAGGTAAAAAAAGAGCAATAAATGTAAGAAAGAATAAAAATACTTCAAATAACGCATAAGATATTCTCCATTTTCCAGAAAGTCCCTTACTCAGTTATCGCGGGTGTGCAAGCATGCATTAGATCTTTTGTTTAACTCGATGTACTTACTGGTTTCTTCCCCACAATGAGCTTTTCAACCTTCTGCACCTGCGAGACGTGGTCTTCATTGGTCTTGAGCTCTCGCTTACGGATCCTCTCGTAGATGCCGACCAGCGTCTCCCGAGGGATGTCCTCCCCGTCATCCACGCCTGGGCGCACGGATTAGGAGTAAGGAGAGAAGATATATTCAAGCATGAACTCCTTCATCTTGGTCACTCACGGCACATCCTCGCCATTGAGCGGTTTGGTTTGGTCACCTCTTAAATTCTTGATGAAGTCCTCCATCTTCATCTTCCTCTCGGGCTTGACGTTGGGGCTGTACATGTCTGTGTTGAGGAGGATGATGGCGAACGCCAGGATGAAGATGGTGTCGGGGTTCCTGAACTGCCGCACCACTGTGGGGTTGCAGATGCAGTAGCGCTGGCTGGAGGTTTGAGACACGACAACGAACCGTTACAATTCACAGCCAAACTCATACTATAAAGGTCTCTGTGAGAGTTCTTACCTGAAAGCCTCGATGAGCCGCTCCACCTTCTGGGCTTCGCCCTGAACACGGATGTGGTTCTGAAATTTCCTGAGAGCCTCGTCCAGCTCCATGCTCTGGAAGTCCATTTCATCCACCACACAGCTGATACACGAGGGGACAGAAGGCGTAAGAAAACGAAACTCAAACACGGAACGCATCCTTGATTATAACCAATTATTTTATATCTTAAAAGGCTACAGTCACATTTTAGCATGTGGTGATATTCGCGCAATGAGGAAGTCTTATCGCCCTGCAGGATCTTATAAAGTTGGATTTTATGAGTGCACATGGTCAAAGATTCTGGACTTGACGCATTTCCGTCCTCACATCCTTTGCTCGCCTTTATCGGATCATACAGCAGATGGCGGTGAATCACACTTACTCGAGGACGTCTCTGTTGAACTGCTTCTGCCGATTGCCCAGAAATTCTCCGATCATCTGCCTGCTCAGTCCCTTCCTCTGAAGCAGGAAGTGAGCCACGCCGACCGGTGTGTCGGGGATGAATCCCCTTTCAGTCAGGTACTGGATGCCCTTCTCTGGCTTCCTGATTAATTCAACACGTAGAGGTGGGTTAATACATTTTCTAGTGCCGTCTTCAAAAGGTATTCTTAACACACTAACATGCCTATACATTCAATGCATAGTCACATATTACGGACTAATTGCATTATTTCTTTTTTTGTGCAAGGATCTTTCCAAAACATCTTTGCATTTAAAATTTACACAGTTCAAAGCGCAACACACAGCGAGTAAATCATTTGCCGAGAGACCTCGCTGGCGTCCCCTCCAATCGCCAGGCCCCCCCGTCCACATGATACCTACTTGTTGAAGAGATTGAGGCCGATGCGGTAGTGTCTCTTGCGAATGACATCGTTGCTGAAGATGGGCGAGTCCCAGCTGTTGCGAGTCTCCTTGTGGTACGTCTGCTTGCTGAGCGTCTGCTCCCGCAGGCTGTCCCTCGACGAGGACTCGGAGCTGCAGTTGATGGTGTCGTTGGAGTTGGACGTGCTGTTGATGCTGTCGTTGTCCCCGTCGGAGAAGTCGGACTCGGACTTGCTCTGCCTGTTGGCCGAGCCGTTGATGGCCAGGTGGCCCTCCAGCTGGCGGTGGCGGTGGCGCAGGGGCGCGTCGTCGTCGCGCGAGGAACCTCGCGTCGGGGGCCCGTGGGAAATGTGTTTGGGGCTGGCCTGGGACGACCTCACCACGTGGCCGTGCGGTTCGTACGCCGGCGGCCGCTTGACGGAGCCGCGGTCGGACCGGTCGCTGTGCTCCGCCGAGCTGTCGCTGGGGGGTTCGATGGTCAACAAAGGGAGATGGTCCATTCTGAGACGCTGCTCCTGGCACTCCAGGGAAGGAGTGCTGCGGCAGCTCGTGTCTGTATCGCGACCCTCGTCTTTGGGGTCCATCGGCCAGTAATCCTGTGAGGAGTTGACCGAGCGCAACCGCAAGTCCGATTCTGTGCTGGAGGGCTGTTCCCCTGACCTGGACAGAGCGTTAGAGGGGGACACGTCCTCCTCGTCGATGAATAGGGTAACATCGCTATAGGACGCCAACGCCTCATCGTGCATTCGTCCAGCTGCCCTGCGGTGGGACTTTGCCTGATAGGACACCTCCCTTTCCCCCTTGGGGCAGCCCATTGCCTCCGATTGGTCCGGACCCTCGTCCCCTTGAAGGCTGCGACAGTTCAGTGCATCATCTATCGACTCGGCCAGAGATTTAACCTGCCTGGAAAAGGCGTCCTCCAGCTCCGTGATGGCGTCCGTCAGGTCGCCTTGTGGCGCTGGGTGAGACGCCATGTTGGCCTGTTGGTGCACCTCTATATCTCCACGTTCAGACTGCATCATGGACAGCGGGGCGCCGTCCTCAGTCATCGACACCTGCCTCCCTTCGAAGTAGGAGCTGTGCACTTTCTCGGGGCCCTCAAACGAGAGCTGCATCCTCATGTTGGAGAGGACGATGCGTCTGGACATGCGGTTCTCAGACATGGAGCTTCTGAGACGTTCAAAGTTCTTGTTCATCTGATACTGGCGGAAGGCCGTCTGGATGGTGCGAGCCGCATGCCGGGTTATGAATCGTCCGCCATATTTACGCTCCAGCATCTCCACCTAGAGAAGAGAGGGAAGTGGATGGAATATTTTCTCAGCTGTGCATGGTCTATAAAGTCCTGGATGTTAAAGACTATTCGCTTCTCACAATTCATTTTTACCAAGAACACTGACACGGCTGGTTCACTCATACTTAGCGACTGCATAATTTGCTCAGGTCAACCCTTAACTGCTGAGCAAGGCAACTTCGGAATACCTGTTTGTCCTGGAGGTCGGCGGAGAGCTCGTAGCTCTCAGAGAGCGAGCGCGAGCGCTTGATGGCCTCCTCCTCGGCCTGCTTCCGGAGGATGGACTGCGAGTGCTGGAGCTTGGGTCGACGGGGCCTCTGAGGCCCGGGCTGGACCCCGTGGCTGTAGAGCGGGCCGTCAAATCGGTCGGGGCTGATGGCCGAGCCGTGAGTCACCGGGCCCTGGCCGAAGCTGGCACCGCCATCCAGGGAAGGGCCGCTCTCGTTGGGCCGTCCATCCCCTTCCACACTGCGATAAGAGAGCAAAGGGAACGGTTGGAGCTTTCATCCCCTCTCTCGAAAAGGGAGAGTCGTCAGACTAACCACAGCTGTCTTCCCGATGCGAGACATGAAACATCAGAGCAAAGAGTAGTTTAATTTCATGATCTCATGGCATCACAGAGGTGAACTGCAGTAACTTTACAGTAAACACAAAAAACAACAGGTGCATAAGCTGCTTAATACTGGCCTGGACCTCAAAAATATGACAACCTGCTACAGAATTAGTTGTGTCACATTGGAAAAAAAAAAAAACGAATGCCACGTAAACACATCTTAAACAAATAATGTGAAAAGAACAAGGTTACTCACTCACTCTTACATTCTGCCGTACTACTAGAGGACTGCTTATTGCGAGAAAGATTCTCTATAAACTGCCAACTCTTCCTCCATATCTTGTCCACCATTCTTCCAGGCAAGTGAGGTCCAGAGTACACAGGCTCCTCCGGGAAACTCGAGTTATGCCACCTCAACAGCCAATCAGCGAGCAGCGGGAGTTACATCACGTTTGCTGCGGCGGCAACGCGCTGTCCCAATACGCGTTACAAAGTCCAGTTCAGAGCGGAGTAAATACAGCTTTAGCGGCCCTTTAGCAATAGCCGGGATGTGGGTTGTACGTGCTGTCCGTCTCTTTAGCACAACGGATGTTGTACTAACAAACACGTCTCGTGCTCCGCGGTACATTGGCTTCACTGTTTGCTGGCTTTCTAATGTGTTTGAACTGTGACTGGACACACCCTGACAGTGTACACAATCCACTTCCTTCACTAAACAGCCTGAAATCAACGTGCGGCAACAACAGCTCGCCAGCGCGCAGAGTGAAAAAGTGGAAGTGGAACATGGTCAAAAGTTCACAGGGGATGAATTTCTTCACATTTGATGTCACAACATTAGTGACTTTTTACTCTGAACGGAACGCAGATCTTTTGATTTGAAACCGCTCCCCGCTTGCACAGTCACAGTTGACTCTGCTAACTTAAAGCCGAGTGACAGACTCGGCCGTGTTGTCGGTTTCCGTTTATTAAAATGCATAAATCGTTTTTAATCTGATTCCTAACATACTGCTGCTGATTCTTGTCGAAGCTGCAACTTATTGTTGCACGGCGGCATCTAGAAAATATTATATTCCAACACCATGAATGGCGTTTGGGTGGCAACTAAAAGTTTTGTCATTTCTCCAGGTAGCACGGGCGTTTAGTTCCACTAAATGCTTCGTCAGAGTGAATACGCACATCAAGTGTCCTACTTCCCTTCTGGGTCAACCGAGGGCCACGTAAATGCCGACCGACTCCCACGAGGGAACCGGTACACACAACGTTTAGGTCTGGACAAGCAACTGAGAAAGCCTGTATGCAGCTGCACCAACACGACGTCTCGCGGGGCACAGCGAGGATCACATTTTATTGCATAACCGCCAATGGGACGAATCTCCCAAACCATCTGTCCGCTGCAAACTGTAACGCCGCCATCCCTGGAGTTCCAAGTCACACCTCGCGAGCGGCCACGGCTCAAGAGTACAGGCGCGCACTGCAAATCCTAAATCAAGGGAAATATATGAAAATATATTACCAATATATGTGGACGATGCTTAACCACTGGCCCAGGGATCGACTTCTAGCATGCTACCGTTAGCATGCTGCTGTTAGCCTTTAGCTCAAAGCACGCAATGAGCTAGCATGGTTAGAAAGAAGTATTCAGCCAGGCACTTACATTAAGCATTGTACTAATAACATTGTATTCAAGTTGTAAAATAATATTATAGTATTAATCTAACTTTAAATTACTGCTCGTCCCTCCCTCACTGAGAGCAAAACACTCGACTAGATCTCATCTCTTCGCTGTCCTTGCTCCCAAATGGTGGAACGAGCTCTCTGAAGACACCAGGACCGCAGAGAGCCTTCACATCTTCCGCCGCAAACTAAAGACACACCTCTTCAGACTCTACCTCGACTAAAGACTAACAAATTGTAGCACTTAAATTGTACTTGTAACGTCACTCATCTATAGCAAATTGTAAATTGGCTTATTTGAGGAAATTGCACTTTCTTGTTCTCCTGAGTTTGTACCTTATGGTTGAATGCACTTATTGCACGTCGCTTTGGATAAAAGCGTCAGCTAAATGACATGTAATGTAATGTAATGCTGATATGCTACTACTATACTACCATATGATTACTGCAGCCATTACATTTCATTAAATGTATTGTCTTGCTTGCCTTGGTCTCAAGTTGTCTCTATCTACTTATTTATTTAGCTGTTGTTTTCTTGCGTCAACATTTTTGAATTGTCAGTCATCGGTGAAGCACTTTAAGCTGCACCAAACCGTAAGACGTTTTGATAGAAATAATGTTGTTTTTGTTGTTTGTTTGATCGTCTTTCCATCTTTTTCCTAATGGTGTATTTTTTCACTGCGGGAATGACAGCGGAGTCTATTAAATAACTGAAGAAACATAAAGCCTCCAGCTGCTTTTAATAGCTACTACAGTGCTGCTCTGACGTCCGCTCTCTCACCTCTAAAAACGTTCACGGCACAAAGTCAAAACTAAAAGGCGCAGCACTGGCTCGGCCTTTTCCCCCCCCACACGGGACGGGCTTTCTCTCTTCCACTCCGGTTCCTTCTGCTCCACTTTCCACCGACCAAGAATCCAGGGGGACTGTGGGTGTTCACAGAGGAACGCGAGCGGGTATTAATGCTGCTGCACTTTTTGCTCTGAGGTCATTGAACGCGCCACAAGGAGGGGTCAGTGGTTTGTGATGGCGAGCCGAACGGGGCAAAACGGGAAAGGGGGGGGGCAGCCCTTTAAGAGCCGCGCTGGACCTCGAAGGAAAAAAAAAAGAAGGACTGAACTACAGAGAAGCAGGAAGTTCAGTGACGTCATTCAGCGATTAGAGAGAGAAGTCACATGGTTCAGGCCTCTCGACGTCGCGTTATCATTAACTTTACATGTTATACGTTGTTGTTGTTGTTGTTGTTGTTCTCCCAGGACCTTTTTCCTGAAAGTGACTGTACCCCAACTATGAAATATGATCTGCTCGACGCCGTCGGTCCCGATGTCGGCATGGATAAGCATGTCAGCTCAGCTGGCAGTGATTTTCAGCCACGGGATGCAGAGACTCGGGAGGGAGGGGAGGTGGAGGAGGTGTAGGTGTGTGTGTGGGGGGGGTTCTCTCGTTCTACCCCTACTTCCCTCTCAACACGTCCCGAACAAAGAGGCCCAGGCCCGTTCCATCAGTCGGACCTGAGGGACAAACATTCCTCCATCCCGGAAAAGAGGAGTCACATCTACAAGCGTTCTGGGAATAGAGGAAGGCTAATGAAGTGCAGGCGGGGGCCGCGACGCGGAACCAAGCAACCCAAGAACCAAGGTGTGCAAACGGTTTAAACACTATTTTATAGGGAGATCTTTACAGATTCTCTGCGTTTCGAGTGGAAATGAATCCTAAAATCCTCACCAATACTGAAACTGTGTGACTTTTATCAACTTTGGGGTATTTTCAGTATCCATGCATGTTAACGTCATTGTATTGTTGTACTCTTTAAAAGGGGCTTTTTAACCGTGTTTTTAACCTTTGTAGTTTCTGTTTCAATATTTGATAAAGTACCAGACAGGACGGGTTTCCTGAAAAAGCGAGCACATAGTTAACAAAGTAAGAAACAGCAAACTCATGGAAGTTATAAAAGTAATCCTGCTGGATGAAAACATTATACCGTCACCAACACGGCTGCTAATGAAGTCTGATCTGCCTGCTGAGGCGTATTTTTATCCGTGATGGCAGATGGTGGCGGGAATCTGATCCCCCTCATCGGGGTGTTTAAGATAAATTATGTGTTATAACACCAATGAGACACATGTACAAACATTATCAGATGATTTGCCTTTAGCTGATAATTCCGTTTTTCAGCAATAGTTGTGTGTGTGTGTTCAAAAACACAGCCAGCCGACCCTTTCAATCAAATCAAACCAAATCAGAATTCTCACCCCCCCGCGTGCACCGACAACATGTGCCAGGAGCCCTAAAAAAGCAGATGTTTTTTTCTCCCGTCACAGCGGCTCTGAGAGCTCATAAACACGGATGCACGCACAGGTAAAAGGTTAGGTGAGACCACACGGTAACACGTTAATGAAATCCAGCATTAGAAAGGGTAAATCTGCCAGTAAACACTCGGGTGCGTTAGTCATTCCGGCACCAATAACCACACTAAATGGAGGACTTTGCAGCGGCTGTAACCAGACAGCACGGAGCAGGTCGGGGATTTACAGTCGGGCACATCTGGAGAGCCGCTCTGGCTCGGCGGACTGACGGTCTCACTCCTGAGAGTTTGCAGCAGACAGATATATATGGTCGACCCGAGTCTCACCGGACTCGAGGATGAGAGCTACTGTGAGTTACTTCAGCCCGCGGAGCTTCCAATGACTCAACCGCCATCTGGTGTCCGACCCGAGCAGAGAGCCGCCGCGTTGAATCGTCACGGCTTCTCAAAGGCTTCGATCTGCAGGTGGAAAAACTTTTGTTCCCCCGGTTAATACTTTGGAAATGTTCTCAACAACCCAAATCACAACGTGGTGGAGGACGAGAAGCACTCGAGCAGTTGAATACGATGCTGACATTTTGTCAACAATGAGCCTGCTGCGTTTTTGGCTTTTAAAGAGGCCTTTGAAGGAGAAGCTTTATTAGCACAGCACATGTGCAGCAAATTAAACCCAGTGAGTGGTTTCATGACCCGTCGAATGCCATCCACGTACTTGTTAGTTAAGGCATCGACGCCCCCCCGCCTCCCCCTTCCCCCCTCCTGTCAGGACTCACACAAACAACAACAACCGAGCCGCTGCCGTCATCTCACAGTAATGAATATTTAAACTACACTCAGTACCTGCCCTTGAAGAACCAGCGTTGGAAAAAGCACGCAGTCACGGCAAGCGGGTGGGCGGGGGGGGGGACGACACACCACAGGAATGCCCTTCAGGAGGG